TTTCCACATAATATATTAATAAAATAGGTATTACTGATGTTATGAATCCAAGGTTTTTAAACATTGAACCCAAATTACATTATATATTAACAACATCTTAATGTATAATAGGACAATTATTTGCTTTATTTTATTTCAAAAACTTCAGAATCCACCTTTTGACATTTGACTGTCGTTGACGTAATTTCAGAATGAGGTTATTCAGTTTAAGACTACATTTAATAAGGACATGTCGCACCCTTGAGAATTCAGCGTCACAATCTGTTCGTATACCCATCGGCATACAACTAGAGGTATAGAAAGGATACCACTTTTGTATTATGATTGCGTCTTGAATCCTAATCATTAAAGTTCAATGTCTTTATGTGTATTAATTAATATATTCTACTCTCTCGCATATTTCATTTTAACATGGGACTATAGTGCTTCATTTGTAATACCGACACATAATAATATGTTCTATCGGTCCCAATTTTTCCTGTTACTTATTTAGTACGCCTATTTCTGATATCAGAACAAATAGATGTTGATAAACATAATGTTGCCGGTTGACCTGAATTCAAAAGTATAGGGGGGAATCTTACAAAGCAGTCGAAGATCATAGCAAGCCTGTTAAGATTGATGACTCGTGACTTTGCGTTGTGTGATTAAACATCTAATAACTAAAATAGAATAATTTACTGATCGATGGTTTAAGGTATACCCAATACCTTACATTCTTTAAACAGTGACATGCGTCTGGTACGGACCACTATAAACACAAGAATGAATTCTCTAAATGCTCATTTACATGATCAATATTAAACACAGTAGTATAGCAAACAACAGTTCACTTTGTAAATTGCAACATTATGGCAAAACAAACAAAACAAATACGGACATATTTTCGAAATCACAACCAGCTCTACATGGATTGTTCGAAACTTCTTGCAGATGCTGTAATAATATTAGTTGTAGTATTCTTAACTCTTAATTAGAGTACCTAAGGACAAGATAGTCCGACGGTTAGCTATCTGCAGAAGAGCTGTAAATCTATTTGTGTTAACTAAAAGTATAACTTCTGAACCCCAGCGCCAGTTGAAATAATGAAAGGACACAAGTTTTCACTAGACCATTTCATTTGGAAATTTATTACTTGATTTGCTATGAACAATTTTTAACAGCACAGTTTAAAATTTCAATTAAAGAATGTGTTGTCTGGATAGACTAATAAAATTTCATTTAAAAGTTGCTGAGAGATTGTTCAATCGGCAAACGAGTGTCTGTGTCTCGATAAACCGATTGTATAAGATTTGATTATACAATTGTTCGGTATTTTCACGTTTCGCAAGATTGGTAGAAGAGAATGTCGATTATTTTCAATGACAATCCAGGATTATTGGTTCCATTGTCAAGCTTTTAATTAGAGACACGTTGTCGTTCACGTTTTATCAGAGGCTGAAATACCATCAGACGCTTGAAGTTAAAGGAGTGTCTTGCTTGGGTTATACTTATTTGAGATCAACTTTACTTCTACTTGCAGTTAACGTGTTCAGAGACTAGCTACATTTCAACAGAAGATAGTGATGGATTTTGGTGATCTGACTATCTCCAGTGTTGTAGCTAGGAATGTAACGGTTTTTGAGATCTTTATTAACACGGTTGCCTTTAACTATCAGTCAACTGGATTGATACTAGTTACTGAATATCCTTAGCTTGCTCGGAAAATCTCACTTTACTTTAATAGCAGCACGATTTAAATACCGAATTTGATATCTTGACAAAACTTTCTGTTTATTCCTCTAGAATGATTAGAAATTATTTTTTTAATCCATATTGATCTATTTCTTTTGAGCTTTCGTATAACTATTTTTTACCGAAGTTTTAATTGCAATTGTGATGTATATGGATATCGAATATAACAATCGAGTTACACATTCTGACTTAAATATTTGCTTAAACGTCCTGCTTGTGAGCATTTGCTTCTCTTTTGCTGCAGCTTTGCACTCCAGCTTGACTACCAAGGCGATAATGTTACTTACATACCCAGACGCATCGTTACTTTTTAATAGAAACGTCCGGAATTTTAATCTCCATGGCGCGATACACGTCGTACAATTTATATGACATTCCAGCAAGATGACAACATGACTTCCTAGGTGGTAAAGTGCATGACACACCCGAGCACAGCGGCACTTTTAATTGCTAATAGAATCGTCTGGAATTTAGATTTTCCAGGCGTGATATACTAGGCGCCAACGGAACTGATTACTTGTAACATTATCTCCTGAAATTTTAATCTTGAACGCGTGACATAACACAATAATGAAATTTGTAGTAAGCTTCTACAGCGGAGATGTTCCTCAATAAAGGTAAAAGCCTTCTAATAATATAGAGAATTCATAGTGCAAATAGAGTGAATAACTCAACCTGAATCTGCTCCAGTTATGACAATATCAGGAATCAATGGAAACGTGTGTCATTGTTTCTGATTAGTTCGCTTAAAAATGATTTAGACAACAAGTAATTGAATCAAATGATTTCTAATTGAAACTGTTTTTGGGATTTTACTCCTTTAAAGCTGTAACTGACTGACATTGCCGGCCAATAATCTGGCATGTTTTCTGGCTATAGGAAGCGTGAGTTGGCACCATGTCACTAAAACTTAAAAAAATCACACACATTGCCTTGAATTAAATAATCGGAAGGTGCTGAAGGAACAAAATTTTGTAGGGATATTAAATGCTTAATGATATTGAAGAGACAAACTTATTATTGATTCTGATACACAAAAATTAATCAATTTTAACTTTTTGGGGGTGTGTACAAGTTTATTGGAAATATCATCTATTTACTTGGCTCTTTGATAGGAAGAACAAAGGTGAGTTTAGTTCAGTTTAACATTTTAACTTAAACAACTGAAAAGTATTCAAGAATAGTGATTAAGTTTCCAATATTCACACGATTGACTAAACCTTGACCTAAGATTTTGGGACATCTGGATTTAAGGAGGGGTGTTTTTCATTTTCTTCCCCGCTTTGTACTCTCAGTACCACGGCCTACATAATGCCATTATATACAATATTGATTAGCCGAAGTAGGGGAAATCTTACACATTATTTAACTGATAAATTTCATGATAGATTCTAATCGTGGTATTACGGATCGGTCGCGAGTTCTGCCATGTCTTTCCACCATCGATACAGATTAGTCAAGTGAAACGTAGATTAACAACCCATTATTACGGATTACTATAGGATTACGGACCAGACAAATAAATGAAATTTAAACATACTAAGGTATTAAACGTTACCTGATTATAAAAGGTAGGTAATTATACTATTAATATAAAAGATGATAGCCCTGAAATGTCAATATTAAGATAATTTTGAAAATGTAGTTCATTCTTAAACGTTTCATTTCGAAACCGGGTTGATGTGCATGTGTTCTGAGAGAGCGTTTTCAAGTCAGAGAATGGATCTTGTTTCAACCATGTTAGTATAAGTAGATATTTCGAAATTGATATCAGTAGTGTCAAGTTTACTATATTACGTGTGACTGATGCTAACGATAAAAGTCACGATTTAGTCAAATGTGACATACATACTTGAAAACTGAACGATATAATTATTCCCAGTAATGGAAGAAATCAAAAGTAATGGATCTTAAGTGTTTTCTGACAAGGTAAAGGAGAAGGTCTAGGAGCAAGTCATCGTTAAAAAAGAATATATTCGTCTTTTAATTTGGTCTATCAATCTAAGTGTTGCAAAAAAAAAACGACTCTTAGGTTGTCATTGTAAAAGTTTTGGGTACGTGAAGTTATACTCAGCTGTTAGATTAATTGATAATCGTATTATCATTTAAAGATGGGTTTAATTTTAATTTATGAAAATGCTAATACTAATATGAATATAAAGTAGAGGCATTTTAATGACTTCGAAAATACCAGTTTGTCTCACATGTCCATAATTAATTCATAATTAGCCAAAGTAGAAGAGAATTACCAGCAGAATGCCAATGGGAGATCGATCAATGAAGGTCAAAAAGTCTTTTCCTTGTTTATCCAGACTGTACATACATGGACATTTATTTGGTTAAAACTTTTACTTATATGCAATAAGAACATAATGATATGATAAAGAATATATCATAATTCATTAGAAACATCAGTTAATCAAATAGATTGCTTAATTTGACACTAAAAAAATACGGAAACCCTTACATTCTTCATCACTTCTAGAAAAGGATTCAGCGAAGCCAGGAACTGTCCTTGACGAATAGTCCAGTATTTCGGATGAGACAGCAAGCTGAGACCTGTGTGCTACGCTCTGTGGTAGAGACTCCAGTAATAACGTAATTACGGAAACCACCCCTTTTAATGCTTACGTCAAAGTTTACGAAGGTAACGAAGGTAACCTGATTAAATAGCCGATCCAGAAGTTTCGTTTTATGTTTATTTGTACAAGTTCAATTTAAGTACATACACTTTTGAGTTTGCCCGCAATTCCATACCACTCCTGGTGGACGTGACAGTGGCATGAGATGAACTCTTTTCAATTAGAGCAATAACTCTTATGGTTATAAATAATTAGTCTTTAAGTAGGAATGTCGTAAATTTAATCAATTGCCCAAAATGACTTGGGTCATAAGACTCACACATTTTTCATCCAATGCAGTTTTCCATCGATCAATTGCGATTTTGATGACATACATTATACAAGGTCTTTACAACATTTTTTATTAATTGAATTTTATGGATTATTGTATTTTAATACGCCCAATTCTCCTAATAACTGATTATGCATTTCTTTATATTCTTCTAATGTCTGCTTGAAACCCAATGGTAACGATTTCATTTGAAGGTAGATTAATTTTTCCCCCTTTCGGGCTATCATTATGTATTGCACTGATTTTTTGTACATTTCAACTTATTAGATTTTCTCTGTTCGACTTCGATTCCTGAAGGTATTCAAAGAAATGGTTTAGTTCTATAAGAGGTATGCTGATATCTGTCAGGAAAGATGGAATCTAGATTATTTCAATCGTTTTTCTCAATGTATGTTAGAATCATGGTGAGGAACCGCGGTAGCTCATGGCGTTATACACCTGCTCGCTGACCACGTGGTCCGGTGATCGATCTAATGGTTGAGATTTACTTTTTCTGCTTCATTATGGAATAGATATTTAAAAAAGGCCCTGTAAATTTTAACATATTCACAAAAGAAGAGTATACAATATTCATTTTTCTCTCATGTATCATAATTATGACAAAAGTCTAAAATGTTGAAAAGTAAGAACGGAGAAATATGATAACAAATTTATTTTAAACTATTGCAAAAGAATAATGAATATGCTTTGCTACAAAAACTATACATCAGAAGAGAATTTCAATAGATAAAGTTCAATTATTCATGTAGTACACTGACAAAGACGACACTGCAATCAAATTATTCAATAGAATGTATCTCATAGTCCGAGTCAAAGGACTGAGAAACACTGTAGCTACTACAATGGTGAATGGTACTGTTGTCAATGACATTTCGGAAGTAGAACTGTCCTCAGTTGAATGTTTTTAAGTATTTTATTAGTTTGAATCTCGCTAAAGTATAAATGAGATGAATACTGTGCAGTTTAGATGAACATAATTTTTCTCACCAGCCCTGTCCTGTTGAGGTATATTGTGCCATATTGATGTGTATCCCTATTTAATTTCAGATGAATAACACCACAGCAGAAACGAGTTATATCCCCTTCCGGCCTATTCCGATGCATGAAATAAACTATGTTGAACAGAAGAGATGTAATGAAACTATATTTCCTAAAGGATACCCACAGGACGGTGAGTTGTCTTTTTCTTTGCACCTCACGTAAAGGGTAAGTTCGCGATATACGGTAAAATTTTTATTGAAATAATTCCATGAGGGAAAATAAATTGTTTTAAGGTAATAGGCAAATCTATATTATGTTATGAGTATCTTACAAAGATGAATTACTTCAGAGGGGCTGTTAGTCGAGGCTATTATATATAGGCTCCAACAACTTGCCTTTCGATTTACGATCTCACAAATACCAAGAGAAATGTCTACATGTCTCGTCGTTACTGGATCGTTTCATTGTTTTGCCTGTGGGTCTCATACCTATGTAATCGTAAAATTATTTGAATGTCCCAATGCCATTGTGATATTTGAAAAACATTAATGAAGAAATACCAGGTATTTATAATTCATGATGTTAACCCCTGAAGACCAAGCTGAACATTTCATTTTAATGATCATGAAATAAACCTTTCTCTAATTTATATAGGGTTAATAAAAGCAACTGATCAAATATTCCTTTTTATCATTTCTGTAAAACAACATATTAAAATAATCTTCCTTTTGTATAAATAAAATATCTGAAAATCTTTGTATTTTGTCATATTACGGCCAACACTGAAATTACACAGAACAAGGTTTGATAAGGGTTAATCATCTATCGCTTGAAGCTCAAGGTAAAGAGGCGTTACAGTTGCAATGTGTATTGCACAAAACTAAACCGGAAGAGTCGTCTTTCTATATTTTCTTAATTGTTATGTTTTTATTTAAAGGGGTATTCCGCCTTTTTGTAAATAGTTTTTCATTATCAAAAACGTCGTTAATTTTACCTGAAAATATTTCTAAAGTATGCTATTTATATCTGTGTATCTACTTGATCAAACTGATTTTGTTTTAAAAGGGTTAATTAAAACGGAGAGAACTAATATTGTTGATTAAGTAGTTTGACCTAGTTTTTGGTGTTTGTTTTATAATGGCTCGACATTTTTAGTTGAAAGCTTCACAATACATAAAAGACATATTGCTCTACAATTAGGCGTTGATTTCACTCAAATCCGTTCAGTAGTTTTCTAACACCTTTCAAAAAGGAATGTAGGTAATTAGGTCACAGGTAAATCGGTCACCGGAAATTTGGTCACAGTAAAAAGGTCAAACGGTAATTTTGTCACAGTAATAAGGTCACACGGTAATTTGCTCACAGAAAAAGGTCACACGGTAATTTGGTCACAGTAAAAAAGTCACACGGTAATTTAATCACAGTAATACTGTCACATGGTAATTTGGTCATGGTAATAAGGTCACACGGTAATTCGGTCACAGTAAAAGGGTCACACGGTAATTTGGTCACAGTAAAAAGGTCACATGGTATTTTGGTCACAGTAAAAAGGTCACATGGTAATTTGGTCACAGTAATAAGGTCACTCGGTAATTTGGTCACAGTAAAAAAGTCACACGGTAATTTGGTCACAGTAAAATTACCCATTTTCAATGGTGTTGGTCATCTTATTCACATCAACCGCTTGTAGTTGATAACTAGATTCAATAAATGGTGGAGGACGGGCAATCTCACAACTTAAGTAGGTTCGTGACTTTGACCTTGACCTCCAATGACCTTAAAAGTCATTGTGTTTGTCTCTTCGTCCCATGGGGGCCCCCAGCCTGCGACCAACCATCATGCCGTAACCACGTTCAGCATTGAAAATTTGCGGGTTTGAATAACCGGGGGCCCGGGAATAAAGTTCTAGAGGCCTCAAATTAAGATATTTCTTGTCATAGGGGCCCCAAATTCAGATATTTCTGGTCATGGGGGCCCCAACTTCAGATATCTATGGGGGCCCACATTCAGGTATTTCTTGTCATGGGGGCCCCAAATTCAGATATTTCTGGTCATGGGGGCCCCAACTTCAGATATCTATGGGGGCCCACATTCAGATATTTCTTGTCATGGTATTGTAATAAATACGAGCAATCGGGGGGGGGGGGGGACGTCTGGAACGTCAGTATCCGAATGTGGGTCCTCCTTGGCGACAAACCGCAAAAGCATAAAAACGTTAAGAATTGAAGACCTTGGTCCAGTTTCTCGAAATCATAACTTAAGAAAGCTACAGATTTTAAGAAATGGAGTTGTTTGATTGGTTGATAATGTCATATTTAAATATGATCAATTTTAGTGATTGACCAATCAGAGAACACAATTTTAGTATTTTAGTTCTCTGATTGGTCAATCCCTAAAATCGATCTTAAATATGGCAATATCAACCAATCAAATGACTCCATTTATTAAAATCTGTAACTTTTTTATGTTAAGATTTCGAGAAACTGGCCCTGAGGGCAAGATTAACTCTCTGGGGCCCAAGGAAGGAAGTCTATGGGCCGGGTTGGAAAATGCTTGGGCCCGACCGATCAAATACTTGGGAGCCCTCGATTCATAGTAGCTACGTATAATGGAACATGGGCTTTTCATTGAAAATTTAGGGCTCGTTTTAAATCTCCGAATTTAATTGAATTTTCCCAAAAGTTTTTCGCGCCTCGCTTCACTCGGTGTCATTTATTATTTCTATACATATTTTTATACGCCCACATCACAATGTGGACGTATATTGTCGTTGTCCCTGTCGTCCATCCGTCCGTCCGTCCGTCGATCCGTCGGTTCGTCCACAATTTGCTTGTGAACACGTTAGAGGCTAGAGTTTTTATCGGATTTTGATGAAACTTGGTATGTGTATTATATCCATGAGATCTCGGTTCCTTTCGATATTCAGCATTTTCCGGCCGACGCTTTCTGAGTTATTGCCCTTGACGCGCTCAAAACGCGTTAAATTTGGCTTGTGAACATGGTGGGGACTACAATTTTTATCCGAATTAATGAAACTTGATATGTATGTCTGTATTGATGAGATCTCGGTCCCTTTCGATTTTCAGCTTTTTCCCGCGAAGGCTTCCGGAGTTATTGCCCTTGCTTAAAATTCATTAAAATTGACTTATATAGAGTACAGAGACTACAATTTTTATCGGAATTGATTGAAACTTGGTATGCTTGGTATCATCTTGATACCCGCTAATGTCTGTCCGACTAAATCGAACGCGTTCCGAGTTATTGCCCTTGACTTTACGCAAAATGCGTTAAAATTGGCTTTTTAAGAAGATAGAAACTACAATTCTTATCGGATTTGACTGTAACTTGGTATGCTTGTGTATATTGGTAGCATCTCAATACACACATATGTATGTCCGATTCCGCCGACCTGTTCCGGGTTATTGCCCTTGACTTAGCGCAAAATTCGTTAAAATTGGCTTCTTAAGAAGATAGAAACTACAATTTGTATCGGATTTGATTGAAACTTGGTATGCTTGTGTATATTGGTAGCATCTCAATACCCACTGATGTATGTCCGATTTCGTTGACCTCTTCCGAGTTATGGCCCCCGACTTAGCACAAAATTTATTGAAATTGACTTTTAATTCAAATTTTTTTTTCTGATTCGATTGAAACCTAATTTACCTGTGTATATTGGCTACATGGAGGAGTGATGCTATTTAAAAGGCGAAAGCCGCGATGAGATTTGCTGCTGGCGGGCGTATAGCCTTGTGGGCGTCCGCTCGTATATATTAGCACCGTTGCTCGTAAATTTCCACGTCTGTCCCAATGACCTGAGCGTTTTTCAATTTTCGGGTAGGATGAGATGGGCGCCCTTCAGATACGTGAGATACGTGCGAAGCATCTCACCCTACCCCCACCCGAAAATCGAAAAGAATCTGCTTTGAAACGCTCACGTTATTGGTACAGGCACGGAAATTTATGAGTAGTGGAGATTATATATAAAATACATATTAAATCAACTTCATTGCTGAAGTCAATACTGGATGATTTTACAGGCTGCATTCAGTGAGTAAGAATTCTGTAATTTGGAATGGCGAGAGTCGGCAAAAGTTAAACGGTGGTATGGCTTGCAAGCTTAAAAGGCAGACCGATGGCGGGTTGTATCAGCAATAACTATATAGCTGCAGATTGACAGGTATACCAAATACAGTTCGACCGTTCAGGGCCCCACAAGGTCCATCGATCTCTGGCAGAGGGCAAGCAGAACACTATATTATGTATTATGAAATAAATATCATTACACCAGTTACCAGTAATTTCATTTTACTAATTTTGCCTTGACCAGATCACTGTGTGACCATATTACTGTGACCAAATACCGTGTGACCTTATTACTGTGACCAAATTACCGTGTGACCTTATTACTGTGACCAAATTACCATTTGACCTTATTACTGTGACGAAATTACCGTGTGACCTTTTTACTGTGACCAAAGTTCCGGTGACCGAATTTCCTGTGACCTCATTACCGCGCCCCTCCAAAAAGAATAAAGAACTTAAAAAGCGTACATAATGTTTTTAAATTGTTTTGGCGTTTGAAAATTAACAACTGTATCTTTATAGTTAAAACTTTACTCTAGTTTATGTTGTATAGTTTTCGCAAATTTGAGTAAAAAAATGTTCGAACTACAAAAAAAGCGAAATGTCCCTTTAAGAAATATTAGGGCAACAATGCGCGCAAATCAGTCTGAAATACTTTATACAATCAATTACTTGTACTGGCCATTGTTTGAAATTAGTGTGGTATGATAAGAGTATTCCAAAAGAACCTGTGGTATCTCTTGTTAAATTCTAATTGATTCTCAAAATCCAATACCAGCCGGTTCACCCACAGGAGGTTTTACTTATAAATATTCGCTTAGTTCAATATAAAATAATTGGTTAAGAAAAATTTAAACACTTCGTTTAAGTAAGTAATATTTATAGCGCAGTTTTCATGAGATAATTGATTTAAAAGCCGAATTCGGTTTACGAATGAACACTGTGCTTTAATTTACTTATAACATGATTGAGGGATGTCTGACAGATGGGTGAGTGGGCTTCGTGTTATATAATAGCCATTGCACGGGCATTAAATGTTGTATTTTGGTATATAGGTCAATGTAGACAGAAACATCTGTCTCTATTCCAGCCTATTCCAGCCTCTGATAGTTATTTGGACAGATGTCGGCTGGTGTAGAGACAGAAAAAATAGACACCGTTCATTGGGTGCGGGGGTTCTAGATACTTCAGATCTGCAAAACTCGGATATATTTGGAAACATGAATATTTTTGGTAGTTCAGTCATACCATCATTTTCTCCCTACTCCATTTATGTCATGTATCCCTTTCAATCAAAGTTTTCTTAACGAAACTGATCACGTATCCGCCATTTAAAACTGTTTGAGCAGCCAAAAGTTCAAAGGTCACGTGATACTAACAAAACGAAAGTTGTGATGCTCAACACTAATTTACAGTTATCGTTAAGGTAATTTTATATTATGCTAGAAAAAAACGCATCTTCGGAGGCGTGGACAATCCACATTTAATAAGACCTTTAATAAGACATTTCGGACTAAAGCCAATAGCGTTTGTTACATCATGGTCGTGGTTTTGTGTACATTTACATAAACATCTAAGTGACATGAATATAATTCATTTGTTTCTTTGTTGTAGCACGTGCTGACGGTGGGACTAATATGTCAGTGATGATCAGTGCAGACCACTATAGTCACTCCCCTCCCTCTATACATATGCAGAGTAAATCGTGATATAACTTCGATTTACACGATTTTATCAAGGGATAAGCGCCGCCCACCGGTTTATACAACGAAAAGATCAAGAGAAATTGCCGATATCATGTTGTAAGAGTTTATAAACTGAGTTTAGACTAAACTGTCTTGCATATCAATATCGCTACCATTTATCATTGATCAATGTCTGTTAAAAGTACATCTCGAATAGATTACAAGGTGTCCAGTTTAAAATGGTTTGATAGAACGAGACAAAATAAAGACATTTTAAGATCATTGCCTAATTTTATACAATAATGATTTAAATAATAATCCGTCAGTATGTTTCCAATGATCATCCGGCTCATCTGGCTCAAACTGTGTAGGAAATTGACATTGTTATCTACAGTGAAGATCGTAAATATCATTCTAATATTCATGCCTTTTTACTGCCTGTTGATACCTATATTTACGTTCTGGCCTGGTAAGGAATAATTAGGTCACGATGTGATTTAGTTACAGGTTGCTTTAGGAAATAGATCACAAATTGTTGAATAATTGGTTACACGGAAAATTTATCGTAGTAATTAAGTAGGTGACAGCAAATCTTTGGTTATATGTAAATTAGTCACAGCATAAATTGGTCAGATAGTAACCAAATAGTCCGTTTTACCTTGTTTCAGGAGCTGATGCTGTGTGGTAAACATATAGGTCAGTCGAAACTGTAGACGATTAACTTTCCAGCGAATGTGATCAAGTGAACGGAACTTTTGGGAGTAACCTTTGGGGACAAGCTCCAGTAGGCTTATTATAAAGGTGTTTTTAATTTAACCAATGTCATTTCATTTGAGCTCATTAGGAAGAAGTAGAAATTTGTACTTCCATAAAATAGACCTTTCATTTAAACATCTTTACATTGTGTATGTAAGGTTAAACTTGTTCATGGAGTTCATTGATCTTATTGATGGTATATTACATTATCACAACTAAGTTTAGGTTACATCGGATGAAAATGTCATGCTTGCCTCGTAAACGTCACTTCCGGTCAATAACATGAAGAAATTTATTATCAATCTTATCTATAGCTTAAAATGATCTATTTGTTGGTACTATATAATCACGTGACTGATAATTAGTGATTGACTATCTGATATAGGTAGTTACTTGTGGCTTTTAACGTGACTTTGTCTAATAAATCGGCTTCTCGCAGGATTTATGGACAAATATGTTCTGATTTCCCTACAGATTTATTGCCCCTTCCGATAATAATCTAGAAAAATATATTGACTCTCTGAAAACAAATTAGTAAATATAGGGCGAATAAATTTATTGTTAAAACTAAATACACGTAAAACATTCTGAAGCTCTGTGATGTTCATTTAAACTGACAAAACCGATGATCTTCTCACAAAATGAATTGATAAATAACTTTCGGGCATTGTGAGTTTTTTTCATAAATGAATTTTGAATTGAAATAAATTCTGCTCAAGTTTAGGCATAAATCATTAATAACATATCACATGCACATAAACAGCTTTATTGGAAGCTGCCATGCCATACAATGTGCGTCAATAGAAATTTTACCCATTGTCCATTTCGCACTGAAGAGGGACATTTAACATTCCGCTTTTTTATTAGGTCGAAAAATGTTTTGGACCAATATTTGAAAACTGCACACCAGCTGTTAATTTTCAAACGTCAACAATATTTAAAAATATTACGTAAGGTTTTTAAGTTCGTTATGCTTTTTGAAAGCTGTTTGAAAACTAGCCTACTGTACGGATTTGGGACACCAGACCAGAAGCTTTTTTCGCTTGACGAAAGTATAATTAGAGGAAAAGCTTCCACCTATTTGATAAATTGAGGTCATCTTCCTGATTTTAAGCAATTATTTCGTGGTCTCGTGTTGATTATTTTCTCCCAATTCTAATCCATTCAAAAATAAACTTCAATAGTTTTCATAATAGTAATTAGTTAAGTTAGTTATATCCGTCTGGAAATTTAAGCTTTTGTCATTAAAAGCTCAAATATTAATCTTGGTTTAAATAAGTTAGTAATTGGATTCTAAATGATGTGATATGATGAGATTAAACTCTGTCCACACTTAATGTCCTTCTACCTAGTCTTCCATACTGAAACATACATTTGGATAACACATGCGTGTCCCAGGCGCAATTCCGAATAATTACCGTTTACATATGTCAGAAATTCTGGGTCCGTTTTGGAGCAGCGCTTGAGGTCCTGGATCATTCTCGAGTAAATCAAGATCGTTATCGTGCTTTAGGACGTTTGAATACGATCCAAACGTGGCAAGTAGTTACGAAGAGCTGATGTGGAAATATCGACTTAACGTCGGCTTGGTACAAGAAACTGAAGCAATAAAAGCTACCGATTGTTCACGATAAAGAGCAATCCGAAATTGACAAAGGGTAGACAAATGATCACGTGCAAAAACTAGAACGGTGACTAAATCCATTCTTTACTTGCTTGTCGAGTTTAAGTACAGGTAAAGTTTGATTGTTAAAAATTTCCTTACATCAATGTCTTCCATTACCATATACATCACCGTGTTTAGAGAAACCGGAAGACCTCCTTTCAATCTATCTTAGATAAACTTTACTCTTTGCTGGATAATGATTAATTAGCTGATCAGTAGATCTTTATAGACTGAAACATGGTGAAAAACAAAAGAAGATGAAGACATTCAAGGATCGATATTTCAACGCCCAAAGTTGACCGAGTTTATGTAGTTAACTACATAATTTGGTTACATCTTATCAATCAATCCTATTAGCAAAAATATCACACCATTAGCTTTCTTTACGAAAATTCAAAAAACGATTACGATTTAGGATTCAAAGGAATAGATTTTGTCACCACCTGGTGACGCCTTTTCCACTAAAATGAACAGTGTCTGTGTCCTTGTGTACTTTCAGGCGGGCTGTATTGTAATGCTACGTTCGATGACTGGATGTGTTGGGATTACACGCCAGCAGGAGAAACTGTGTATCAACTATGTCCTATAGACTTCGACACAGCCATGAACCCTGATGGTGAGTACAAACACTGCAATTGTATCAAAACAAATCTGCCAAAGCGAACATACTACTAAGATGCTATTAAACCAAAAAGTTTGTAATAAATAGATTGCTTCATTGTTTAAAATGCAGTGTTTCACAGATATAATCGTTTATGATCGACAATCTTGGTTGGTGTAGTGACAGGTTGACTGTTTAGGATATGCAATGAACTTATTATGGAATGAACCCTGTACAGAACCGATCTTTGGGTGCAATTACCCGATGATAATGATGTCAACTTTAAAAACAAAGCTTCAATTCAAAGCTAACAACATAGCACCAACTCGTACAACCTACCGGCTAGGAAGTAGAAAAACTCTGTTTCCAAATTAATATTCTATACTGGTGTTGATATTTTAATCTGATAATATAGTCAAGTGTATGAGTCGAATAATCAGAAGTTTTCAGGTGATGACTAAATTAATTTCTTCTTGGAGTAAGGACTTTGAAATTTGATAATTCTTCCCAGGAAACGTTAAAGGAGTTCGTCGGACCACAGACTGAGACCCTAATGAAATTTGACCCCAGGGAATCAAGATGGTCTGTAAATGTGACTAATTATCTTACATTTATTCTTAACCTCTTGAGCAAACTAAGTGATATTCATTACTTGATCGCAAGTTGACATCAGTTTTATATCAAATATTATCGAAAGGGAACGACAAGTTTAATTATATGTCGAGACTTGTTTCCTGTTGTCTAAAAACATCGTGATAAGAGCTGAACCTTGGTAATTTCCAGATTTGTAACGTTTTTAATCCAGGCTACTGTTTTAAATTTGTAGATAAGATACATGTTATAATTTACGTATTTCTTGAAAGGTTTTGCTGAAAAGAAATGTATGGAAGACGGAACATGGTTACGGCATCACGTGTCAGGACGAGTCTGGACAAATTACACAGAGTGTATAAACACAGAGGTAAAGTCATCATCATCATCATCGTTCAACAATACTTGAAAAAAATAATGAACATTGTAAACTACTTTCATCCTCATCATCACCACCTATCATCATCACTACATCATCATCATGTAGATCATCATTCGGTATGATCTTGATCCTCACTCTCAATATGCACTGCTTAAAATCTGGTATAGACGCATGCAAGACATCATCATTGTAACTTATCATCATTGATACCCATAAGGTTCGTCATTATCCTTTTTCAATCACTAATCATCATCACCATTATTGACAATCCATCATCAGCAACAGTTATCATTAGTGAGCATTGCTTAATTAATATTGTATATTATTACCTTGAATAATGCCAAACATAATCCATTTCCATTGTTAATATCAATATGTTGATTTTTTGTAGGCAGAAAACAGTGTAATGATGGTATATATTTCTGGTTATGCTCTCTCTATTATTTTACTCATTATTTGTATGGTTATATTCGCTAGTTTTAGGTAAGTCAAAACTGAGTTTAATTCCAAGATTTTCCGAAGTCGGTGGTTTGTTTGCGTCTCATACAATGGTCAGTTTATATCTGATCTACCAATAAGTTAAATTACGTTCCCAGTAAACTTGAAAGTGAAATGAAATGTACGGTGTGTAATAACTGGAAGGAAACAGTGATAGCCCTCTCTTTTTCCATTTGCAGCTGCCGAGAGACAGAATGTGACACTTGTGTGTTGGTTTTCACCACATTCATTTATGGTTTGCAATTATGCTTATTGTACAACCAAGTTTTACTTATAGACGTTCATCAATATGTTGACAGAGAGACGTTAAAATGGCAACTGACAACATACAGAGAACTAAATACTGTCAGTATTGTTGACATACAGCACTAAATTGACATATACTCGATCACATCAACAAGATCATTGTGAACATAAATTCACACATATTAACATCATTGAATTAGGAATCAATTACTACATACGATACTTTAGAACTAAATTATATTATACAATTCTCTATCATTTGACTAACTACGACAGAACGGCAATGGTTGTGATGGTTAAAGACTTTGCTTCTATCTCTTATATGGAAGCAGGTCGTTTGACGAATTCGTCGCAATCGGCATATTGAACAGTTGACCGCCTAGAAGCAAACCACCGATCGGATAAATTTTTAATATTTTGACCAAGGGCAACTGTCGGCAACTTCGATTTTCTTTCTTCTTTTTTGATTTTTTTTTATGTGTGCTGGTTTCGACTTAATTTAGAGTTTGATCATAATCTCTAAGATGCCACTGGCTTCTGGAAGTCGTAGAAAATCCGTTTGTTTTCAGATTCTACTAGTTCCATGTTCGACTATAGGGCCGTCCATTGTGTGCTTCTACTAGATTATGACATACAGTTCTGTTGTGTAATGTATTTCTATTGGGATTTAAGTAGTTCGACATATCGTGTGGCGAGTAATAAAAAATTATTTTACTTGAATTTCCCACAAAGAAGCGCGTTAAAAGACTCCACTGTAAAATACTTCAATGAAATATACTCCCAGGTTCTTACTAAGTAATTCAAGGGCGATATGATAATGAATTTAATTCCTTCTAAGGTCCTTGGGGAAATTCATGGTCTTAAAGATAAACTCATTATTCTATACGGTTCCTTAATTACCGAATTTCTCAATTATCGAAAATTGATGAACTTGTATGCTTTAATGAAAAGCTTTAGCAAATGGGACGAGACAAAACGTTAGAAAGATTTTCTTTTTTCAGACAATTGTTTTCGTCATAGCTGCAAATGTTTCTCTTTGTACATCCATGCAATTGTTTTTATGTTTGATAATGTCCAAAAGGTTTAATGCGTCCATTATCAACACTTCACTTCATCGACCAGAATAGTAAAGAACAGTAATCGATCTTGCTGTCCGCGATTATTGACGTCCTAACAACAGACAATCCAGAAAGAATTGCTAAATAGCAGATTTGTCAGCTGAAAATTTAGTCAATATAGATTTTACTTTCAGGCAGTTAAAATGTACACGAGTCACGATCCATCAGCATTTATTTTTATCATTTATATTAGCTGGTATGTTTTGGATCATATATTATACACAAATACCAATGAACCGTCAAAACATGGAGGATAACTCGGTAAGTCTATTAATGAGCCTGATGCATTATCATTAATATATAAACAGTGACATGTCGAACTACCAATTGGTAGCGAAACTTGTATATCAACTTGATCTAATTGCTAACAGCAGCCGACAAACATGTTTTAACCCCAGAACGAAAAATTCTACGATGGATTTTCTTTTTCTTTGACAGTTATCCCATTGGAATTTTGGATGCAGTCCTCACAATGTTAAGCTTTTACGAACTGCGGTAAAGTTATAAGACGAAGTTCTTAAGAGCTTGGTATTTTGAAGAATAAGTAGCCTAAGCATGCACTCAAAGAATGTGAAATTTTGTGTCTTGGCAAATAAATGGCGGTTAGCTCTTTCATCAATCTCATAAACTTACTTTTCAGATATGGTGCATATGTCTACACGTAGTGACACAATACCTAACAATATGTAATTATTGCTGGATGTTTTGTGAAGGATTTTATCTCCATACCTTAATAGTTTTAGCTTTTACTAAGGAAAAGAAATTACTCTGGATATCGATAATAATTGGTTGGGGTGAGTTCTATTTCAACATCGCATTCATAAGTAGAAATATCAAAAATATTTCAAAATTTAACTGTGACTGGTTGAGATAGATTTTATTTTTTTAAATTTGTATCAAAACCTATAGTTATTCTACAGACCTACGAAAATAGGGAGTGATCGGGAAATACCGGGCATGTTTCAAGATGTCCTGACGTACCATGTCGGCGTTTCAGCGAAGATCCCGATCAAGTATATTATCTTGAACTAGCCTACTACTTAAATGAACTACATTACTTTACATCATTTATTTCACACTTTTGTTTTTGAAATTTTCAGTGTTTCCTACCGTTCCTACAGTGTTTTATTTGGGGTTCCGGGCCACAAGTGTATTCGAAAATTCCAAGTAAGTGGAAACCTTAATATGTATGACATATTTATTTAATAAAACCTTGAACAGTGCTTATAACGACACAAATACTTCTCAAAGCAGGTGATCAAGAAATTTTACAAGATTCCGTATTCGTATCGATTGTACGCAAGTCAGCAGGTTTGATTTACGAATATTATATTGGTAGCAGGGATGGAAGATGGGTTGTCTAGCTGACACATTGCGAATCATAATTCCTATTATCGGTTTTTGCAATTCTGTTATTTTTCGGGGAGAAGAACAATTGGCATCATTACTAGCATCGTATTTGAAGACATTTTAGGCCACTCTATTATGTAATCACAGACTTACGCAACATTTTTAACTCAAAATAACTAAACTAAATTATATTAATTAACAAAACATTCACCTCCATTTAAATGTGTCCATCAAATGACTAGACACGTAATTGAAAATAGCAAAACAAAAATATTCAGTTTCCTAGCATTAATCAGACAATAGTCATCGAACAGGACAGAACGTGGTAAATCTAGCAGGTTTGTAAAGTCTACAGAGTACATTTCTATACTAATGAAACATTTCAATTCAGATTTTTTACATTCCTGCTCAGACAAAAAATTATTGTTAACCAAGGTTCATCCTAAAAAGTTGATAAATACGACATTTTTCGAACAAATCGGTACTATCCTTGATCGATAACGGCTTTGTTCTAGAGTTTTTTCTGAAGTTAAGAGTTTTTCCAACAACAGACTCCTAGATCAATATATTTCTTGCAATAACGCTATCTTACCGTAAAAAAAACTTTTTACTAAATGAACTAATGATTGACTACAGCTAACCACTAAACGATTCTGCTCTCAAAAGGAAACTTCTTTACGTCATGTAATTACATTTTACGCTATGACTTATAACATTTTTGTCTACAGTAATTTGGACAATAAAATATTAATAAAGGGCTAACCATAAAACTTCCCTAAAAGTTGAATTAAACATTTTACTTAGTTGAGAAGGGACATAAATGATCAATTTCTGAGTTTGTTTCGTGTGTCATTTCCTATATAATTTTGAAAATTAAATCTAAGCCATTATTCTTACAATGTATGTGACTGGAGAGATTTTACTTCCGAAAAATGCACCTGAAAATTCCCCTGTGTGTAATTCGAAAGATAATTTTTCATTTAGAAATCTTGTACTCCCTTTACTACTTCGGGGCTCTGATTCACAGAGGTCTGACAGTGTATTGTCGCTCAAATTTAATGGAAAGTTTACATCCTGTTAGCTCTTAGGATTTATATCCTACAACACTCCTAATGATTCACCGTGATATAGCCATGACCATCTTCAAGATTTAATAACGCTTTGCTCGTTTGAGTCCTTGAAATGAAACCGCCAATTTTTGTAACTATTTGCTTAATAAATTATGTTTTAATTGACAGATGTTGGTTACACAAATCGTCTTTAATGTGGTTTATCATAGGACCTGTGGTTGTTTCACTTATTGTAAGTTGCAGTTGAAAAAATGATATTACTATATTAATTTTTGAACAAGGGTTTAACGGCCTACTGCCTACTTTCGCCCGGAAAACTCTTAAAGGACACATGTATTTCAAAATATTTAAAATTATTTTTAAGGATTTTTTTAGGATTGCCCCATTTAATGATCTGTACGTTGCACTTTAGCTCTCACCCATTTTCGTAATTTTATAATTTTATAAGTAAATATAATGTAGCCATACTTCGTTTACAGGTAAACCTCTTGTTTTTGGTGAACATTTTAAGAATCCTTGTGTCAAAGCTGCGTGCATTTAATACAAACGAGAGTCATCAAAATAGGTTGGTATAATAACTCGTTATACTCTAAATTGATACATTGAATCATTACTTGACGTATATTATGTATTAAATGGAACAACATCATGATTTAAATGGATCAACATAGATAACTTGATTCAAAAAGATCAAAATCATTAATCCAATGGATCAAAATCGTGAATCCAATGGATCAAAATCATGAATCCAAAGGGTCGAAATCGTGAATCCAATACATCAAAAGCATGAATCCATTGGATCAAATCATGAATCCAAAGGGTCGAAATCATGAATCCAAAGGGTCGAAATCATGAATCCAATGGATCAAAATCATGAATCCAATGGATCAAATCATGAATCCAATGGATCAAAATCATGAATCCAATGGATCAAATCATGAATCCAATGGAACAAAATCATGAATCCAATGAATCAAAATCATGAATCTAATGGATCAGATCATGATTCCAATGGATCAAAATCTTGAATCCAATGGATCAAAATCATGAATCCAATGGATCAAATCATGAATCCAGTGGATCAAATCATGAATACAAAGGGTCAAAATCATGAATCCAAAGGGTCAAAATCATGAATCCAAAGGGTCAAAATCAGCTTTGCCTAAGTAAACATGAAGATATACTTTTGTGCTTCCAGGAGGGCAGTACGAGCAGTTCTAATATTAATACCATTATTAGGTCTACAGTATTTAGTTATACCATTTAGACCTGACCATGACCCACAGGCCATGCATATATTTAAACTGATCTCAGCATTTCTAACTTCTTATCAAGTAAGTAATAGCTTATTAGATAGATTCCCTGAACTTAAAAAGGATATCAGATGAAATCTGAACGCAATTCACTTTCTTACTTTCATAACCTTTGTATACTTAAGTGGAAATAGGGTTTTTCGATTGTTGTCATTTGCGCTGGAATTGAATTCATTTTCATTTCAGGGTGTTTTTGTAGCTGTGATTTTTTGCTTTTTTAATGGGGAGGTAGGTTGCATTATTACTTTAATCATGGTTCGACTCGAAAACATTTTAGATCGTTTATTTAGTAATATACACGTATTTGGACCATGCCGTTTGTTCTGTTCTGAGATCAAGCGAAATCAAGCAATAAATTCAATAAATCGATATCCCTAGAATTCCGTTGGTTATATTTGAGAATCGTATTATCTTTCCTTTATGCCAGCTGGCAGAATAATCATGCTGATACTGGGAATCGTGTCATATTTTAAGCTAATGCCAAAGTGTATCGTCTGGAAAAACGTGTAATAAGAATATCGTTATGGGAGGAATGGGTTTACCTATCGAATTGTCTGTTGTAAGCGGATATAATGAGTCAAGGAACATTCGGTGTTAAAGATAGTAGATTCAAAGAACGAGAAGGCAGACCTGATACGCCCATGGTTGGGACAAGCTTAAGATTGACGAAAGATGCAGATATGCATAGTACTATGTCTACTTTTTACTTTCGTTTCTTTTACACTTGACAGTAGAAGAAAAGCTCACCTCAATAGCTTTTTTGTCATGGGCAATCATTAGTTCATTTTTCTGTTCATATTTTTTAAATGATACTAATTATGCCCTTTGGTCTAATTTAAAACTCATCAAGGTGCCTTTAAAAGTCATTAATGGTACAAAATTCCAAAAAGTGTCATTATATTTAATGTTTCATGATATCGTCCATCAAACCCTTTGTCTTTAGGTAATTACAGTAATGAAAAGAAAATGGAACCAGATCAGGAATAGTAATTATAACCCTACTAGTGACAACAGAAGGCGAAGTACGTGTAACACGACAGCCATAACTAATTGGGATGATTCCAGTGTCGTAAAGAATGACAAAAACTCTAGAATTAAAGCGGTGAGCTTCTGCATTAAAACATTAATACATTATCTTTTTGTCGGAATTTTTAGCAAGGCATTCGTGAAGCTGGGTCGTTATTTGGCAAATTTGTTTTACAGGTCATTGATAATTCAGCACCAATCGCAAAAACTTGAATAATATAATGCTGTATATCAAAGTAAATAAAAACTATCGAGCGAACAGTCTACCAACATTTAAGGAGGACCTTAAACATTTTTCTATAGCACTCATGCGGATACTTTGACACTCTTTGATAAGTTTTGTTTTTTCTTCTGAAGGAAACCTCGTGTTTTTTTTATCTATTCTGGTTCATCCAGCTGTCAATTGATAGTCAGGAATAGATCACAAGGCATCAATTTGGTATAGTTGTTATTTTGTAATGTATGACTTCTGTCTTTGATTCTATATATCTCAAAATTGAGAACAGTGCTGTGACCTCTTCATGTCAATAAAAAATCATTTAAATAGGATTCGTCTAAATTTCAGGATGAGTCTGAAATGCAGATGATGGTTCCGAATCACTAAGAAGGGATATAACTCTACACAACATTCCTGATATCACTCATTCAGTGTACATAAAAAATCTTCACGCTTTTTTTCTTTGCCTATACATGTAAATGTGTACAGTCATCAAAACTAAAATGGTGGCTTACACATGAATTCCTCAAAAAGGATTTTAAAAATGTTGTTTTGCAAGTTAACACCTGCACGAATCATACTTATAGCCATTTCATCGACTCTTGTGTGTTTCTTAAGATTAACTCTATGGATATCAATACGCTTGTGAACTGGCTTCATATTATACCTATATTGTGTACCGTTTATTACCACTCGAAATTTGTGAAGTGCTTATTCTGCTTGTACGTCACGTGAAACTCTGATTGAATCAAATATATCTTCTGTACATTATATTTGAATGAACACCCTAGTTGTTGGGCTCATCCATGTATTAACAGTTAAACGATGATCATCTCAACATTTTAATCAGATTCCTGATGCGTATATACATATGGAACAAAAAAATTATAGCATCTCTTAAAATCCCATCTTCTCACTTTAGTACTTGGTACTGTTTATAAACTGACAGGCAAAAGAAAGTTTTCACCGACTTCATTTGACCACACATCAAAGACAAAGGCATATGTGAGATATATGATGATTGATTTATAAACAGAAATTAATTTCCTTGAATTAGAATGAAAATGCATTGTAATACCGATATTCGATTCTCCGCAATACACCAGGGAAGAGTTAAGGGGTCAAAATTGAAAATTACACAAACCAGAGTTCATTGCAAAAGTGCATAAAGAGTTTATTCTATGACAGTAGTCAGGCAAAACGTCATCAATAACGCAAACACATGCCTCCTCATTGACGTCGTCAGGCGGTTGATAACGTCAACATAAGCTCAATAGAGTCTGTCCAAGTTACTGTCGGTTCATGATAACATGATAACCAGCCGTGTTGTAATCTGGCCACAAATGCCACCCCATACCATGACGCCTCCACCTCAAAACGGGTGAACTTCTGTGATGCAGTTTGGCGCCAGTCGCTCTCCCCTTCGTCGAAAAACTCGAAACCTGCCATCGTTCCTGAACAGACAGAACCGACTTTCATCTGTAAAGAGCACCCCCACCCAGTCACGTCGCTGCCACCGACAGTTCGTGCCCATTGCAGTCTGCGTTGACGATGTAGACGGGGTCAATGCCATTCCACGGAAGGGTCGGTAGGCTCGTATATCAATTGAACGAAGTCTTCGAAGGACTGTTCGTCTGCTGATGACATGACCTAGTGCTGTTGCTGCCGTCGACGCCTCGGTCACCCGACTGTTTCGAAGATGAATCCTCCGCATGTAGCGGTCGGTGTTCTTCCCAATCTTGGTCGGTCTTGGATCTGTCCTGTCTATGTTGGAGCCGGATTATCAAAGCTAATGGTGGTCTGGGAGGTTCTAGCTATCTGTCGTTGAGAAGCTCCCATATTGAACATACCGATCGCTCTATCTTGTTGCGCTTGCGTAAGTCTTGGCATACTTTTGGTGGTTTTTCCCTTACTGAATGCCTGTTCTGTCTAACTTCGGTATTTATGCCGAAATCGTGCACGTGCATTTGGACCAATATCGCCAAATCGCGTTTTGCACGTTTTTATGCATGCACGATTTGGAAAGCTGCGTTCGATAATCTGCGTACGTTGCATTTAGGAAAATGCTTGCTGCTGGGGCTTTTTTGCTTTTTTTACAACGATTTTTGAAGTGAAAACTTTCTTTTGCTTGACAGTTTAAATGACTAAGCTTATCCAAACCTCGATTACTTTTGCTAAGATATTTCCTGAGATTTTTTTTTAATTATTACAGCTATGTCTTAATGACTTTTAACTAGCGAAAGACATACTGCGACAAACACTTAATTATACGAAAAAACAAATACAGGACATACGAACATATAGGCCATATGCATTGAAAATGTTAAGGACTTAACTTTGCTAAATTAGTCAATTTTTTCTATGAATGAGACCCTAGGGACACGTAAAAACAAATAACAGAAAACAAATTGAAATTTCCAGGTCAAAGGGGCTAATGTACTAAAAGTGCTCATATATAAATAAATTTTTATCTTGAAAAGTTATAAAGCTACAAAGCTGAAATTTGCAGGTAATATCCACATTGACTATTTGGAAATTTAAGAAAAAACAGAATTTAAGTATCTGCCATAGGTTAGGTATGAGGTTAGGTAATATTGGTCATTTTTTCGCTCTATAGACCATAAAGACCGTGAATGCCAAATACCTTTTTCCATGTTAGCCCGTATGTAACCTGAATTACTGACAGGGGTAAACCGGGTTGAAAAATCTGAAGGTATTGTCTCAACATTTGACGGGATTGAACCCCGGACCTTCAGGTTAGTGAGCAAGCGTCTACTCTCTACTGAAAGATGGAAATTAGTTATTGGCCATATGGACCGAAAATGTCAAATACCTAAGTTTAAGACTTTTCCTACTAATTAGTTCCCAGACATCAAATTTGTAAATTTCTAAGTTAGAAAGCTACAAAGCTAAAATTTGCAGGGAATATCAACATTGACTTTCTTGAAATTTGCGACAAAAATCTGAATTCAAATATCTGTCATAGGTTAGGAATTAAGTCAGGAATATAGGTCATTTTATTCTAGTTAAAAGAGACTACTACACTAAAAATTTCCATTTTCCTGTGATCTAAGTAGAAGAAAAAAACATTTGGCCTATTTAGCAAAGTTAAGTATTCAAAATAGGTAGGTAATACTATTTTCAAGTCAGAAACATTGATGATATCTGGCAGTTAATTACAGAGTTTGCTACAGCAACACTTGCCCATAGTAATATTAGAATCTATTCCAAATCCTACCTTTAGAGAAAAGTTTGGACGAGTTCTAGTCGTAAGACATTTAAAATCAAAAATGAAATTAGATATCAGAATAACAGAAAGAATTCATAAAGAATTCAGAAAAACCAAAAACTTTTTACAAGTTAAAGTTTATGCCAAAGATGATATATTATGGTCTGCTGACATTATAAATATGCCGAATGAAAGAGGATATAAATATTGTTTAACAGTAATATATTTAAACACTCGATATGCATGGGCTATTTCTCTAAAAAAAAAAACAAATCAGGAATAACAGTCAAACAGGCATTTGAAACAATAATGAAGTAATCTGACAGGCAACCCACAAAGTTATGGGTAGATAAAAGAAACCCGAATTGTATAACAAAAATATGAAATCTCTGGGATTTGAAATTTACAGTACGTATATATAACGAAGGTAAAGCTGTAGTTATTGAGAGATTTAATAGAATTCTACAAAACAAAAGTTTAAAATATCCAAATATTATAATCAGCTCTCCCCAATGACGAAGCCGTTGTCCACACCTTTTTTTTTTTAGGAAAACTATGCTTGCAAGTACACCGAAGAAGTACAGAGCGTCCATTTTGGGGCATCCAGAATTCAAGTCACTTTACATACTGGTATATGCTATATCGGTACCAATCTAACCTATCCTTTCTGCAGTGTTTTGGCATCAATGAGACATGACCCAGTTGCCATTTGGACACACCTCACTCAAGTACTGAAGAAAATTTACAAACTTCAGGGATAGCTATGGGCAGACGATTCGCCCTTTCGCATGCAAACCTTTTTATAGCAACGTGGGAACGTGAGGTGTTGCCCCTCTGTCCATTTGAGCCACTTTTTTACGGAAGCTTTTTAGATGACATTTTCATGGTTTGGACTTATTCTATCGAACAGTTTTGGAAATTCTTTGAAATTCTCAACAACCGCCATCCTTCCATCAAACTAACCGCAAACGTGAGTGACAAAAGCATAGACTTTCTGGATACCACTGTCTTTAAGGCAGATTCCATAACAGAAACAAATAAACTGGATATTAAAGTGTATTTCAAAGAAACTAATACTCATCAACCCTTGCACATGAGCTCCTTTCACCCAAAACATATAATTAAGTTGCAAGTTTTTCGATTTCACCGAATTTGCACAAGATCTTCTGATTTCAACCAAGCCTGTACGATTGTTCTCTCAAAACTGAAAGAGCGTGGGTACTCTACACGATTTTTACGAAATATAAAAACTTCACTTTAGCACAAATAGCAGCTAAAAACAGGCTTTATGCCGAAGTACTTCCAGGTTCAAAAAGTGCTCAATGTTTGTCCAGTAGATGCAAAACATGTCCCTTTATATCAGAAACTCATTATTTTTTAAGCAACTCTACGAATAAAAGGTACCCGATCCAGGAACATCTAACATGTGAACATACATTCGAATGTAATATATTTGATTATATGCAAGAAATGCCCCAAACAATATGTAGGAGAAACTAAGAATAACTTACGAACTCGCATTAATGCTCACAGGTCGGATATCAAATTAAAACTCCTTGGGCGAGTTATTTTTTCTAATTTCAGATCAGAATCAGAACAGAAGAAAGCCCAATATCAAGACCCTTAATCCCAATTTCTAAATAAAGTGTGTGCTCCACCCTAGGCCTGTACGTTTGTGAGAATCAAACTTCCTCGAAAACCACTATCGGTGTTATTGAATACCTCTTTTTTAAAACGAATACGATTTCAATAGCGTAAGATGTAAGG